TTTTTTTTTTTTTTTACTTTTTGGCAATGGAAACAAATTTTATAATCAATTGTGGAAAAAATTATCACTTTAATGGACGCTTTCCATGTAAAACAAAGCCAAACGAATAGAAAATTTAAAAAATTTTTGGGTGGAAAATTATACCAATCAAACACACTTAATTAACAATTCCATGCAAAATATTTTCTAGACAAGTATTTTCCCTAGAAATCATTTTTCTTTCCACCCATTTTTCACCCTTACAATCAAACACCCTAATAGAATTTAGCAATTTTATGATAGTTTATTTTTTGAGCAAGTATAACCAGCCATTAGGCTCTTGGGTATAATCAAGAGGGAAAATTTCTTAGTGCGACTCATTTTAAAACTAAGAAATAAGGTTCAAAACTTAAAAAATCAGATATTAGTTAAATTAATTTCTGAAATAATTAATTAAAAATATATTTTATTAATTAAATATATTAAGGTTACAATACTATACTATTAGTTCACAAATTATTTCTCGATCACGAATAAAAAATTTTATAGGTCAAATTATTTCACGGTCACAAATCAAAAAATTTATTGATCACAATTTTATAAACTACTGTGGTGCTCATATCAGAGTTGCATAGCGAAAATGCCATTGCGTGCGGCACTCAAATTAGTGCCGCATAGCGGCATGGCTTCTCTGCACTTGGCTTCTCTAAGCAACACATCAAAGAGAGAGACGGGAGAACGACGACGGTGTGGCGTGCGGTGAGGAGAGAGACGAAAGTCGGCATAGCAGCATGCGGCATGGCTTCACAGCAAAGAACGCCGCTACACGGTGATGCTCGAAGGTGGTCTTTGACTGTGACGATCCAAGAGAGAGAGAGAGTAGGGGATGAAATTTGGTGGAGTGGGGTGGATGGAGGTAGGGTTGGTATATAAATTAATTTAATTTTATAATATGATCATTATTATTGGATTATTATTTGATTTTTGTATAAACAAACTTTAAATTTGATTTTTGAAATGATAACTTAAAAAATCTGATTATATTTAATTTACTTACCAAAATAAAACTAACTCTTTACAAATATAAACTAAACATGAATGAACCATTTAATATGGGTTGGGCTAGACTGAAATCAAAACAATAAAAATCGAGCAATGTTACTCATCATTATAATGATAAATATGATTATAAATTCTTAATGGAGATTGTAGTTGGTTTAGCTGGCAATGATTCTCTTAATTCATAATCAATGAAGTTGTAATATGTATTAAGGAATTAGAATGAATTAGACAATAAATGATGGATCAAATGACACATAAACTAGTAATATGGAGTATTGATTAATAGTATTACTCGTAAAAATGAAAGTGATTAATAAGTAGTTGGACCCATCACCCGTAATTTATGCACAAAATGAATACTCTATGTTATCGGACTTTTTAGAAGAATCCGTGCTTAAATATTCGAGTGAAATAGAAATTAACCAAGGAATGCTATGAAAAAATAAAAATGGAATGATTTTCCTAACTTGTTTTGGTTACAACTAGTTTGTAGTTCTCGACTCTTTCCAAAATGGTATCATTGTTAAAATTGACTATTATAGGCAAACATTTTTGTTCATGAGAGCACAAGAAAAATATATTAGCAAAGGACATCAAACAAGACAATTATTTACATTAAAGAAGTTCTATATTAATTTTGTATTCAAAATAGTGAAATACCAGTACTTAGTATTGACAGACAGACAGATAGAGTTTAGTACATAGTTTAATTGAATTTATAAGTGTTACCTAAGACTAAAGTTGTTAGTTCCCAATACATGTAACTGCAATAGGAATTAAGATCATAAACTAAAATGATATATCAAAGTTTTGTCAAACAAATAAAAGCAAGCCTTAAGGGTGTCAAAATGGGTGGGTCAGGCTGAATCGAACCTACCTATAATCAGGTCCAATTCAAGTCCATTGAGGATTTTAAAATGGGCCCGTCTAAAATTTTGTTTGGGCTAAGCTATGATCAATCCGCAAACTTATCAATATTGTGGGCCGAGGCAACGCCACCCGCCATTTTATTTTAGTACAAATTACTCAATTCCCTACTTTTGGATATTTAAATTCAAAAATCAGATGTCAAGTTTTAATTTTCAGAAATCAGATATTTTATATATAGATACATGTTTTTTTATATGTAATTAAATATTAATAATAATATTATAAAAATTAATATATGTGCACCCCACCCCTAAATTAATTTTCAAACCCTAAATCACGTCTCTCTCCCTCAGTCTCTCACCCCTCTCATCTCCCTCACCGACGATTGCGCCATATTTTTCAGAGATCTTCTCATATCTTCTGGCGGTCTCCTCCTTCTCTCTACAACTTTACATCTCTCTCTGTTCTCTCTCCTTGGCGACCCATCTCTTTATTGAGAAATTGAATGAAAAATGAATAAAAATGATAGCTTGTGCAATCAAAGGTGGTGTTAAAGATGAAAATGCCAAAAAAAAAAAAAAAAATGAAAGGTGTGAATGTTTTTTGCAATAATAAAGAAAGGTTGAGACATTATGTGTTAATTACCCATTTAATAATTTATTTGAAACTCATTTGCTTCTTTTTTTTTTTATTATTGGAACTATGATTGCAATTAGTTTTTTTTTCTCTCTCTTTTTGTTTTAATTAAATAGAAGTGTATATTCAACATTTCACAATTTGTAATTGAGAAAATTGATAAAAATTGTCTTATGAGCAAAAAAATGTGAAAGTAAGGGTGAAAATGTCAAAAAATGAAAAAGTATGGACGTTTTCCACAATAATAATGAAAGGTAAGAATATTATGTGTTAATTACCCCATTTATTAAGCTAGAGTAACATTTTGAAGGAAGGATGCAAGTAGGAATTAGGAATCAGCCAATGTTTTGTAGTGGAAAAGGTTGTCCAAATAAAATAATCTTCTATTTCAAGCGTCGTATGTTGCATAGAATTAGATTCTCCATTAGAAAAGCCTAAAAATAATTGATTGGTTCCATCTTTTCACTAATTTCTTTTGTCATCTTTATAATGGCCTATCAAAGTGGGTTCAATTCATTATCTAGGTTTTTTTATTGAGGTGGGTCCGTATCGGACCCACATCATTGTGAGGGGAGGACTTTACCAGGCCTGGTAAAGTAGAAAAATCCTTTTTTTTAATTATTGGAACTATGATTGCAATTAGTTTTTTCTCTCTCTCTCTTTTTGTTTTAATTAAATAGAAATGTATATTCAACATTTCACAATTTGTAATTAAGAAAATTGATAAAATTTGTCTTATGAGCAAAAAATTGTGAAAGTAAGGGTGAAAATGTCAAAAAATGAAAAAGTATGAACGTTTTCCACAATAATAATGAAAGGTGGGAATATTATGTGTTAATTACCCTATTTATTAAGCTAGAGTAATATTTTGAAGGAAGGATGCAAGTAGGAATTAGGAATCAGCCAATGTTTTGTAGTGGAAAAGGTTGTCCAAATAAAATAATCTTCTATGTCAAGCGTCGTATGTTGCATAGAATTAGATTCTCCATTAGAAAAGCCTAAAAATAATTGATTGGTTCCATCTTTTCACTAATTTCTTTTGTCATCTTTATAATGGCCAATCAAAGTGGGTTCAATTCATTATCTTGTCTTCAAGATTCTTTCTCCATTATTATTATTATTATTATTATCAGATTTAATTCATGTTCAGTTCTATTTGGATTAGAGCATTCACAACCATCCTTATAAAATTAGATTCCTCGAAAACCTTGACTATCATTTTCTCTCTCAAAATAAAAATTTCTATTTCACCTAAATTGATGTTGAAGATCCATTATGTGGCATTATACAATGCTTTGGTAAGTACTTTCTAAAAAGTAAGGGTCTGTTCTCTTTTACCATTTTTCAAGCCCTTTTTTGTTTTCGATTTTTCAAAACAGTGAAAATGCGTTCTCTTTCCCATTTTAGAAAATGCAACGCATTTTCGAAAATAAGTTAAAAATTTACAAAGAAAACCTAAAACGACAAATTTGTTATTTTTTGTGTTTTCAGTTATAATTAAGCTAAAATTTTCAAAACACGTTTAGCGTGTTTTCAAAATGCCAAAAAAAAAAACATATTTTTAACAATCTCAAAAGGAATACTCAAAACACAAAACTCAAAATGAATTCAAAACATAAAACTGAAAGACGAAGAGAACAATCCCTAACTTTCCCTCTTTCAACTATTCAATTCTTGTTAAGATGTAAAATGTAAAAAATGTAGAATGTCTTATAGCACTCGAGATCTACTGTCAAGGGTCACAATTCAATAGGCGGCTCATTGAAATGGACTGGGACAAACAATAACCCTGAAAACATATTTGACATTTTATTTTTTACCTGAACGAATCAAGATTCTCCTCTTTGTCCATGAACCCAATTCTAAATTGAGATTTTTTATTTTTTATTCCCCAAACAACTTTTAATAAACAGACAAAAGGGGAGAAACAACCTTGGAGTCCAACAGCTAAACCAAACATATTTTTAAAAAAAAAAAAAAGGAAAAAAACTTGTGGGCTTAATCCCCATTGCCTGAATCAAGAAGAATGATTAGTGCCGGCATAATTAATATAGCAGAAATCTTGATTATCTTAAGAGGAGATACGAATCTTGTCAAGAATTTGACATTTTGAAAGTAAAAAATAATAATCCTTTTTAAGTTTTAAGCATGCATATGGCCAAGAAGGGTAGCTGTAGAATGATTCCATTCCAGGTCATTTCCAGAGAGGAATCAGCAAGAAATAAACGTGCCCGATGATTTTTCTGACACCACTAGACATATCAAATATGATTAAGCAAGGTTCAACTCGACAAGATAGTGTATGGAACAAGATTTTAGCTTCTCGTATTGATTGATATGCCAAAAACCATTTTGTTCATCATTTCAAGAAATGGAATTAAAGTTCTTCATGCTGAAAAAAGGGATACACAACACCTCAAAATAAATGGATAGAAAATCTAATCCTGCAAAATTCCATAAAATCTGGCTCAATAAACATCATAAATATATATGTATTGTATATTAAGTTTATAAGTGATTTAATTCCTCCCATGTACTCTTTTTGTTCTGAAAAACTCATGGTCGACATCTATACATCGTCTCTTCCGGGCAAGTGAATGTGACTTTTCCAGCTGCGGCTTTCCGACTTTTCATCATCTTCGTCTTCCATACTATTGCCTCCGGTCATGGAAGTACCTCGAGATGATCCAGCTAACAGTAGAGGGCCCTGAGGAGAACCCGACTGGGAATTGCTTTGCTTCGAGGATTCACCATGCTGTTCATGCGACTTCCACTGACCTCCAAGTACTATGGGTTGATTCGAAGAGGTGCTTGTTGTAGGTGGGACTTTTCGAGTATGAAGCCGATATTTCTGAAATGACAAAAAGAATAATTATAATAGTTCGAAGTTTGCTAGGTCTATCTGAAACCGCCCCAGGGAAGCTCCAAATAGCAGTTTTTGAGGTCTATATACAAATGAAGGATAATAAAGAGAATTATGCTATTTCGAAATTCAAACCCCACCTGCAAATGACTCTTGACTTCATCATTTGTGAGACCATCAACTTGCATAAGATCTCTGATCTGCTTGGGAGTTGCAGCTGCAAAGAATTTAAGAATAAGTTAGAGGCTAATTCAAACAAGAGTATCACATATCAAAGCGTTGCTGCATTAGTCTCTATGAGATAAACCGCTTCTTAATTTTCCCTCCGATCACCCCCATTTTCGATGAGATGAAATTATATAGTTCCATAACTTCTATTCGGATACTCTCTCGTAAATCCGGTGAAGTCCAAAAAATCATTTGCAAGAAAAAAAACACAACTTCATAGAACACATATGACCAGTGTTTGGAATTAACAAACAGAAACGAAGTAAAACGCACACTGCTCTCAAATTGCACCGTATTTTCTCATTGAATCATTGAAGTTAATAACTTAGAGATCCAATTTAGTTAAGACCTAACCTTGTGGACCTCCAAGTTGTTGCAGGGCATTGACAAATCTCCGATGCAATTCAGGTGACCAGCATCTCCTCTGCTTCCTCTGCTGCCCCGCCCTTGAATTCAATTGACCATTAGCAGCAGAAGACGAACCTGATCCGCTGCAATTAGATATCGAGTTCAAACCACAAGATTCCATATCGTCCCCCACATTCTTAATTCCAGGCATACAAAGCGAAAGCCCTGCTGCTCCAGGCAATTCATCCCTATCTTCCTTCCTCACTGTCATCACTGGAAAATTAGAATAGCCCTTGAAAGGCATAAAAGCCCTTCCCACTGTTCTGTCATTACTGGACTGTAACAGTTCATCCATCAAATTGACGGGTCGATTATTTTCATCTTCAGCTCTCTATTAACCAAAAACACAAACAAGAACAAATCCATTACAACATATACACAAGAAACCAGATTATAATATTAACAACTATATATGTAAACATATATTTTGTACCCTTTTGTTATCTTGTTTTAAGACTTTCTTGTTCTTGCCGAGTTCAATATCTGGGAAAGGATTTTGATTATCAGAGTTCCATAGCTGCACAGAGCTCATCCAATTTATTTTATCACTACTGCCAACAATTTCATCTTTTGGAACCTCAACTTTTTCATCTGAATCATCGCTAATTTTCTTCAATGGTATAAATTCTTCCAATATTGGCTCAGTACTTGATTTTTTGCAATGCATTAACTCCCCCTTCATTGTAGAAATTGCTGCAATGGCAGTAATCAAAACCCAAAAATTAGCAACACCAAAATCCCCTCCCAGCAATCAAAAATCCCAAAACCCAATTTCTAAAAAAATAAGAATAACAATCAAAAACCCATTTCTGCACAATAAAATAGAAAATTGGCTCACCGTCGGCGAGGAGGAGCATGCAAAGAGGCAGCTCGCGTTTGAATGCATCTATCTTCTTCATTTCGTCTTGGAGTCTCTTCACATAATCATCAAGCTTAGAAAGCCTTTCAGATGAGTTACTGATCAACGAAACTTCTTCGAGAAATTCACCAATCGTTTTAGGAATATAAGGTTTCATAGCCGATTGTCTACAAGTCAAACTCAGTTCCGATGATCCCATTTCTTGCCGGATCTTTAATTTTCAATTATCCCAATTCTCTCGTGAACCCAAAATCATAGATAAAGGAGAAACAGTAAAGATCTATATAGACAGTGTGAATGCAATAGAGAGAATATTTCTCTGAAAATTAGTGGTTTTTTAAGAGAGAGAAACGCGAAGATTCCGTTATGCAACGCCGAGTTTTGACAGGGCTGAGCCGATGATATCTTTGCATAGATATATGAAGTCTTCTCCGGGTCGTCGCATATTTCTTTTTTTACGATTTTTCTTTTTTACATAGTCGAAATTGCCCTTGCTTATATTTGTGTGTCATTGAATTTTCTAATTTTTTTCTCAGATTAGTATAATATTGACAGCGAATTTAGTAAGGTAAATTGAACAGAATCATACAAAATATTTGTCAGATTCAATATATATAAACCGCGCTACAGTGATATGGTCAGTGACCGACCTAAAAACAGAGGGTCCAGGTGGCTTCATCTCGACTCTTGATCATAATTGCAACAGTAAAAATCAAGGGCCACATTGGCCCCATGTTTTTTGGTCGATCATATCAAATCATATCTGTCTAAGATTTGCATATTAAATTATTTTTCATAGCTCTTTCGGCGGATTCAATTTCAGTTTCACACACTTTTATTCTTCTTACGCAATGAAATTCATAAGAAATTGATCATCGAAGTATAATTTTGTTATTTTTCATAAGCCCTAGTCAATTAGAGATTTTGGGAAACAAAGTACAAAGGGAAAAACAATTATAAATAACACAACTAATTTACTATCATGAAAAAAATATGCATGTAAATTTCACATGAGAAGTTGGAAACATCGAAACCGGTAGAATTGACCTTCAACAATTTATTATCGTTGATCGTGTGAAAGACGCGAATTTCTTGAGGTAATTTTGTCTTCAATTATATTTTATTTAGATATTAGCCATTGTTTGATATAGATTAAATTAAATTAAAATTTTAGGTCTAAGTCGACAATTAATTTTAATTACACATTTCATTTGACCCACAATTTTTTAACCACATATTTTATCAATTTTTATTAAAATTTATTAAAAACTTGATTTTAATATATCCCAAACAGGACCTTAGTGACAATTTTGTAATTCAATATATTGGATTGTACATAGTACACCACACTAAAATGAGATGATAAATGTAAAATAGACATGACATTAAAGTCAAACTAATTAGATGGAATGCAACTTTAGGGGGACAGCACATAGGTACATGAATTACCACTTGTTGAACACTCTTTTTAACATAGGACCCACTAATGTACTCTATGAATTTTTTTTATTGTTCTTTTATAATTGGAATTAAGGGGTATATTTGTCATTTTATTAAGACAATATCCTCTTATCCACCTTTCTTAAAATTCATTTTTCCAAAATTCATTTTTTTACACATTTTACGAAATCTACAACCCTTATCAACTCTTTTCATAATACGTTATAAAGGAACTTTAAGATTTTTGGTCGTTCAATTACAATTCAATAGCCCCAAACTCGAAAGAAAAATTAAAGGAGATTTTAGAAAAGACAGTATAAAAAGGCCAATTCAAATATTTTTCTTTTCACTCGTAAAACGAAGTGCAAACAAATGGCAACTTTTTTTGTTAGCCGAAATATTTGAAATGTAAAATTGAAAGTTTTGATTATATTTAGCCCTCGTTTGGTGCACATTTTTTGAAAAAAAAAAGTATTTTTACTGTTGATTCATGAGGAATATATGGTTGAAAAAGAAGGAAAAAAATTAATGTGACTCAAACAGGGCCTTATTGTTTAACATAGAAAAAATGTATTAAATATTATTTATATAGAAAAATAATCAGCGGAAGCTAATCGATAATTTGATCATAACTTCTCGATGCTCGTCGGTGATCATTTAATGTCCCTAAATTAGAGCTTCTTTACTTATAGTTGAATTTGAACTTAACAACTTTTAATTTTATAATGATACTCTAAATATGTTTGAAATTATTTTGCTCTTCTGATAAAATAAAATTTATCGAATTAATTTGATTTATTTAAAATATAGTTTGGCAAAAGATAGGACCAGCATGTGTTGGAGCCTGGAGGTGGGCATTAGTGGAAAATCGCACCAAATAATTCTTGTAGTACAAACTTAGCTTAGAGATAAGGAATCTCGGGTCGAGGTAGGGACCCCTTTTTAGTATCGGCCAAGATTTCTTTTTTCAAAATTGAGAGAGAGAGAGAGATGCCCTTTCTTCCAAATCAAAAAGGACAATCTTTTACAGCCGTTAGATTCCAATGCTTTGAAGAATCTCTCTCAAGTACGTGCTTATGTTCCCATACCAATTTTAGCCACCCCATTTGATTCGAATTAAAATTTAATTAAAATTTTAAATCAAAATTAATAATTAATTTTAACCATAAAGTTTATTGGACCTACAATTTTTCAATCAAATATCTCGTCAATTTTTATAAAAATCTACTAAAAAAACTGATTTTGATATCTACCAAACAAGATCTTAATTTCAATCAAAGTCGGTAATTGATTTTAATCATATATTTTATAGAATTCACAATTTTTTAACTATGCATTTCATTAATTTTTGTCAAAATTTACTAAAAATCTAATTTTAACCCCCCATCAAATAAGGATGAATCAATTTTTCTATTCTTTGAATTTTCAATTCTGCCCGTTGTTCTTCTTTTTCCTTTAAAAATAAAATCAACAAAGAGACGTCATCTGAAAAGTGATATATCTTAAAGTGTATTGTGCAGTCAGTCTTTTTACTAAGCCCTTGTTTGACAACCATTTTTTTCTCATTCTTATTCTCATTTTTTTCTCTTTTTTCATTTCAACCACACATTTTATTAATAAAATAATATTATACATAAACCCAAAAACTTTCATTACTTTTTAACCACACATTCTTACATCAATCACTATTCCAAATCAAATTATTCCATAAAATGGGTGTCAAATAAGGGCGTACATACATTCTAGTATTATCGGAGGAATCGTGAGGGCAAAACGGTCACGTAAAATGTGTACCGGTTGATTTTCATATACTTGTAGAGGAAGATTAAAAACAAATTTAGTCAAATCAAGAAAGGTACACGCTAGGAATTTTAAATGATTTTTCCTAAGGAGAAAGAGTACATTAACCCACCCCCCCACCCCACCCCACCCCACCCAGCTTCTACTTCTTGGAGGATACTATTTCCAGTATCCTAGAAAATGGTATCTAGATTTTTAATGGCTATAATTATTTTAGAAATTTAGATAGATAATTATTTTAAAAAATTATCTAGTTTTGACCATCTACATTAAATTATTATATAATTATTATGCAGGTATATAGTTTTAACAATATATAGATAGAATACTTTTGTAGAATAAATTCTATTTAATTTATCCTGTTAAATATACACTACATGTTATTTTAGCTATTTTTAAAAGCCCTTTTTAAAGTATTATGTGTTAGCACTCATCGGAAACGCAATCTGTTAAAAAGGAAAAAAAATACTTGTCTTTCAATTAAAAATAAATAAATAAATTATCCACCAATGAATTAATGTGCCATCTGCCATTGAAGAGTATCGGAATAAGTTCTCATTGAGCTTTTTTTCTATTCTAAATTACTCAATGAATTTCATTTTCTTTCATTTTAGACCTTTTTTTTTGGTTGAGCTAACGAAAATATTGTCGTGATTTTTGTCTAGTTCGACGATAAGAATAATACATTAACAAATTCTTCATAGCATGTCATCACTTCCATTAATTTAGCATATGAACGTAGACAAACTGCCCAAATTGAAACAATTTGAATATTTAACAAACTAACTTAGAATAGAAAAAATGAAAAAAAATAAAATAATCACTTTTACAACTAAGTCAAAAGTAACAAACAAGTGACTTCTCGATAGAAATAATTGGTGCTCACTTGTTAAATTAGTCAGTGAACATTCAAAAGTAACACTAGTTTTGAAACATCAACCGAGATAATTGATACTTTAAATTATTCACATAACAAACGTACTAAGTACCAACAAACAAGTCTTAGATCGAATCCCCAGCCAATACTTCCTCGATCGAGCTCATCGTACTGAACTTGCCTAGTGTGATTTATCTCTCCTGTATGGTTTGCGGGCTACTGCACATAGAACGAAATTTACCTAGTGTGCACTCACAGTGGGCAGGGATCCGCCCCTTCAGGGCGATTGGGGCTCCTTTGACGAATAGCCACTTCGGGTTTCTACGTCAACAAAAAAACAAACAAGTCCTAGATTCTAATCCTTTTACTTTCAAGAAAAATTTAAAAGGATTTCTTTCTTTCAATTTTTTGTTCACGAGATTCAATGAAAGTTTGTCGTTCATTCATTCGAACCAACGCATTCGTGGGCCAACAATTCACAATTTTGGATCCAAGTAAAGAGTATAATTATAAAATAGTAACAACAAAGGCATCTTTCACGTGATGACAAAGTCCATTGTTCATGGCATTTATGTGACCATTCTCATTAGGGTATCTTTTTTCTTCCTTTTGTTCCATTATTTCTCCACCTGCAAAAATCGAATCTTTATATTCTAGTTGTACCCTTTTCAAGGGCATTCTCGTCATTTCATGGTATTTTGTCTACTCTGTTGGGTGGACATTATTGTTGGCTTAGGTTTGTGGCCTTTCGTGAATTGCTCTACTTGTCCCCCTTATCACGACTTAGGATCATTTTTTTCTTTGTGCTTTTAGATCTCTCCACTTCAATGTTTTAGATCTTGTTCAACAAGACTGCCTGCCCATGCTTGAGAAATTCAATTCGACTTTGCAAAATTGGTTGGTTGGTGTAAGATGGGGTTAATTCCCTAAATGATCACCGAACTTTTTTTAAAGTTTCTATGGGGTCACTAAAGTTAAAAGTTGCTCCTGTTAATCACTTAACTTTGAAAATTACTATTCCATTCATCATTACGTAAACGACGCTTGAAAAATTGAGTGTATTTGATGACGTTGAGTGCATGAATCTGCATGTGTGTGACTTGTTTTATTTACAAATTGTCCAATGCGTAATTACTGTTGAATGCATTATTTCATTCAAATGTAGAGTTTTTCGAAATCTGAATTTAACAAGCTTTATGGGCTGGATTATTATAGTTTCTAATTAATTATAGCATGATTTATGTAAAAAATTGATTTATAGTTTTCAAATCCGTGCCACGTAAGCCATACCGCTAGACATGTCATCAAATTCTTTCAATTTTGCAATTATCATTTACGCAGTGATGTATGTGGTACCAATTTTCATAGTTAAGTGACTAACGAATGCAGTTTTAAGTTTAATGACCCTGTGAGAATTTTAAGAAAAGAATACACTATTAAATGTTTATTTAGTAGGCTTTTGAGACGTCATTTGAGTCTGTCTGAATAATTTTTTTAAATTTTTGAAAGAATTTTAAGAGGAATATAACATTATCCATGGTGACTTCCTCAAGATTTTCGTATAATTTTGATTCCTTGAATACTACTCGGCTTCAAATCTCAACGGTTGCAATCCGATCGAGTAGAATATAGATTGCACTATGTTAAAAACGAAAATATTTACTCCATCCGTTCCATAAAGATAATCATGTTTTTCTTTTTCTTTTTTCATTTGTCCCAAATTATAGTCTTATTTCTTATTTGAATATTGATTGCATTAATGTAGATGTATATTAGGAAAAATAATAATAAAATTTATTATTTCAATTATGTTAATTAAAAATTTTTAATCTATGTGGAAAAAGAAATATGACTATTTTTATAGGTCGAAGGGAGTATTATATATTTATTTATTTGTTTTCAATTAATTGTCGCTCATGAAAATGGGTATTGATTATCTAGTCAAACGAACATAATTCTCTTTTGGACAAACAGAAAACTCGTGGTGGTTTCACGAACGGTCAAAAAAAGATAAGAAGGAATGGTGGTACATACAACGTTGTGGGCCATGAAAACGTGGAAATTGTCGCCGCATATGAACGGCGGTGCTTTTCAGCATGCCTATTTTTCTGGGTCCCACCACGTCAAGATTCCTTGTTGACATTTCAGGGTTCATTATACTATAGAGGTCACTGAACTTTTACCCTAGTTGCAATCGGGTCATTAAACTTCAATTTAAAGCAATCAAGCCACCCGTTTGGATTCCTTTAGGCATGCTCGAGTTCGTTGACATATTCATTAAAACTAATGAAATCTCAATATGCAGGAGCGGAGCCAGAAATGAAGGGTACGGGAGCTACTAGGTTGGATAGTGAAAAAAAGTGGACTTTAATAATTTTTTTTTTTTTGCAGAAGATGAGCTTGTAGCCCACCCCACCCCTATCTCCGCCACTGTCAATATGTCCATCATAATTACTATAATTACATTCGAAGTCATTATACATCACCTTCGTTACAATCAAGTCATTGAACTTCCACCCTAGTTGCAATTGAGTCATTGAACTTAGTCAAAAAATACTTTACGGACCAACTTGAAATTTTGCACACACTTTAGTGTCCATTTGTGAAATTAACTTCTGTTAAATCGACAATGATTACAAAATTCATATCATAGCATATTGAATAAATGAAGTGCATCTACCAAATAGGTTGAAGGGAGGAAAATTTTAAGAAATGGTGTAAAAAAAAAAACCGATGTGTAGTGGAGGTTTAGTAAAAGTTGGCAACGTTTTACTATTTTCAATTTCACATTGAAGATGATTATTTATTTTAAAATCTTCGCTGTTGACAATCACTACGGAATTTCAAATCGATGTTTTTTTATTTTTTAAAAAATCATTGTCTAATAGATTTCTCAAATTACTTTACGAGTCTTGTTACTACGTGTTTTGATTTTTTGAAGAAACTATGTTGACATTTTGAACCAATTACTTTTTCTTTTCATTTAAATTAAGGGCGTGTTCGGTAGAGATTAAAATCGGATTAAAATTGAAAAACTAGCCGTTATTGTTGATTTTTATTAGATGAGTGGAACCCAATAACGGTTATATTTTCAATTTTAATTGGATTTTAATCTTCATCAAACGAGCTCTAAGTTATTTAGGCCCTGTTTATTTCGGATTAAAATCAGATTTTAATCTAAGTCAAATAATCAGTATTAACTACATCTTTCAAGAGTCTCATAACTTTTCAACCACACATTTCAAAAACTTCTACCACAATCTATTAAAAATCTAATTTTAATCCCCATCAAACACCAACTTATTACTTATTGGAGTTGAAAATTTATGAATCATAATATTATATTTATTTTAAAAATTAAAGTTGAAAATTTTAAATCTTACCCACTTAATTTTAAAAATTACGGTAAAGTAAAGATGAATTTTATGCTTTAATAAATGTTTGATTACAAATATTTAAATATAATATTTTTAGCCTTTAACAAAACCATTTAACTATATTTCTGATTGCTAGAGAAGCTTAAAGATAAGAGGATAGAGATATAAGATACAGATAAAGAGGAGATTGATGATGGGCTCTGATGGAAAGATAGGTTACAAACTTGGCACAGAGGAAATACAAGGAAATAATTTTCAGCTGTTTGTTCTAATTATTTTTTTCGTAACAGTAGTTTTATTTGTTAACTAAAAGGGTAGTATTGTCTTTTTAATACAAACATGTTTTGTAATTGTTTTAGTCACTTAAGGGTGTTTTTGTCTTTTTACAGTAAATGGGTCATTTTGAGATTATTGTTAATTGTAAAAGTCAAAGTGGAATTATGGGGCTTTGACTAGGTCATTTTTACAAGAACCCCCTTGGCACAAGCTATAGATTTTGTGAACCCATCAAATTGCCATTTTCCGATTTCATTCACGAAGAAGAAAAAAACTATAGAGAAGATGGCTAGTCAAGGAAACCGAAAAGGATAATTTTTATAGACAAAGAAAAGTTGTGTGGAAGTACAATTTCTCCAAGATGTTTCGAAAAGAATATATACACAACCCTTCAATAGTCGAGGTTTAGTAGTCAACTCTGCAAATTCTAGACCTTGATATCAAATGCCCCTACCTTACCATCCAACTATTTGAGTGTATGCTAGAGCAGACCAAACATTCCCTCTAGAAACGAAAAGGAAACTAACCTTTATACTTTGCCAGATCACCTTTGGGTTTTGATGAAATGCACAGTCAGTAGCTTTGAAACACCGAATCCATGAAAGGAATCCACCTTGAAGAGTTCTTTTAGCTTCTCATCACATAAAACCGTTCTCTTATCAGACGGATCCTGGATAAGAAATACACGAAATAAATCCGAGTTTTGATTATAGTTCCTGTCAGTCCATGCACAAAATGCTCATCAAGATTCAAAAGCTCGATGAGATACATATGTACAGATGTACTAGAGCATTATCGTATGTCGTGAATGTAAGAACCACATAATATCCAACTAACAGGGGAAATAAAATAAGATATACATGACTTGATATTGGATATCTGGGCAGCACTATTGCAATAACAATGAAGTGACCAAGATGAGCGAAAAACCTGAAGTTCATTTTCTTTTATGTATTGCCACATTTTCTTGACAACATCAGCTCGGGATAACTCATTTTCACCAGTACCGAAGAAGTTCACAAGAGCATCTGAGAGTGGAAGTGGTGCAGTTAAACCAGAACCTCCCCCTTTTCGCGGTTTCTCTTTCCTCTTCGGCTGGTCCAACTCTGAACAGTTACAAGCATTTAAGTATGTTTTGTCAGAAACTGATTTAAATGTCAAAAAAAAAAAAACCCAATTATAGGAAAGAGTTCAATTATTTTTGGGATATTGATTGTGTCACCTTCTTCTCTGGCCTCACGTTGTCTTTCCTTCTGTGAAGATTTGACTGGTGTAGCTGCATCATCATTGAGAAAGTCACAAATATTTCAGCATGAAAGAAATATAAATCAGAATTCACGGAAGAATGTTCATAGAATTAGGCCGCCGTGCTTTTGGCATTGCTTAATGTCAAGATTTCAAATTGTTCAAGGCAACAACCCTATCGAGAGGTTACTATCTATTGAAAAGATATAATTTTCTCCTCTGACCACCATAAAGGATCTATGCGAACAAGGACACATTTCTGATCTCTTCAAATAAAAATAAAAAATTCTTCCTAACGTAAGCTTCTTCAGAATTCAGAAATACCTAGATCATTTCTCTATTATTCACATTTGTAATTTGCAAACAAATTTTAAATCCAGTAATATCAAGATAAGAAAGAAAGAGAGAACCTAGTGGTGGTGGATAAATTGATTACCAAAAAACACAGTATAACCTCTAATTTTCCAGTTCCAACCTTGTTAATTTATAGAGGTTTTACTGCACAATGCAGAACCATATAGAAGTTGACGGCATACACGATACCTTCTGCTTCATCTAGGGGCCAAATGTGCTTGGACAATGCTTTATTCATTTGAAACATATCAATAGAGCGAACACGAAAAATTCCATGCAAAGCTTCATCACACAAGATTTTTCTCTTGTTCTTTGGGTTCTGTAAGTTCTTCTCCCGAATATATACCCAAAGTTTCTTGACAACCTAAGACAAACAAGATAAAGTTAGAAAAATGTATCTCTACTTAATCTTGTTGCACGTGGCTAGATAACAGCTATGAGAAAATACAATACATGATATATATTCATTATGCACCTCGGTTCTGGCTAGCTCCGGCACCCCAAGGAGTGCCTGCAGTTGTGGAGAAAGGGCACATGGTTTAGCAAAGCCCCCTCTTTTCTTTACATCTTTATCCATCTCGTTAGACCTACTTGATAAAATTCAAAGAATATGCAAATAAAATTAGAAAAATACTGATAAAACATTTTGAAAACAGCATTTCAGCATTGACAAAAATTCACCATTGAAAGTGGATAAAATCAACATTAGCAATTACACAAGAAAAATGCTAACTTATCAAGATTGCTCCTTCTTGACCGTACATTTCACAAGCACATCTAAGTCATAGGCCCAACTGGGTCTCGCGGCACCTGATCCTCACAGTGGAGTTAAGACTGCAGTGTCATCTGCTAATGTTCTCAGCAATTCGAACATTTGTAAGGAAAAATGTTAAAAGAATTTTTGCCACATGCTTCCTAATATTCTTTTTTCCTTCTCTGTTTGTCTTTCACCAAAACTTTTAAACCTTTCAACTGACTGGCGGTTCATTAAATTGAGCAATATGATCATGGATGATCCCTGACTTAAAAAAGTGATCCTCGAGGTGGATACTGATTGAAAATCAAGTTGACTCAATGAAGTTCAAATAATCTAAGGGAGTCGAGTCAACCTCGAGCACCCTGCTTTCAAGATTTTGTATAGTTTGAACAACAATTTTAGAACTGTATTCTTGAACATGTTGTAACAAGAATCAACAAGGTATTTCACTCCAGCGTGTATAGAGTCGACAATGATACCCTAAAAATAATTCAAATAAACAATAGCAATTAAACCTCATCTCCAGAAAAGGGAAGAACAAAACAACGGTGAGAAATAAAGATGAAGAAAAACCATTAACTTTTGAAAATCTGTGAGATGAATTGTTACCCAAGGCACTAGCCATTCTTTTTTGTGTTTCTATCTGCTAGTTCTTAGTCTTCTAGTGAACTTCACAGCAAACAGGTTATGTACAATCATGCACACAAGTGAGAGTGACACTGTGATGTCAAAATGAATTTTCCACATTCTACCACAATTGGAACAGTGGTCAACATTAACTGTTAAAAGCAACACAAGCAAAATTAATTCAACCCTTTTCCTGGCAAACCTTTTGGTGATATAGTGAAAAAAAAAATATATTACAACCCTAAAGATATGAGAAAAGATGGAATTTTTCTGTATTATTAATTCTCCCATTGGCCAAACCGCATTCATTGTGCATGTTATATACCGCTGATATGAATAATTTGCAACATGCTAAGTTGTAACGATTCGGATCTCTGTACCCAATCTGTTAGTTTACGTACCGTCCGCTTTGGGTGAGCATATACCCACTTACCCCCTCACGGCTTTTTATTGCGTCCCCCATTATTTGAACCCAAAACCTTTGTCTAAAGAGAAACTTAAATTGAATCATGATACCAATTAAACAAGTGTAACAACCCGGGTCTCTATACCCAAGCCATTAGCTTATGTACTACCCGCTTTAGGTAAGCCTATGTCCATTTACCCCCTAACAGCTTTCTATCGCGTCCCCCAAGATTCGAACACAAGACATCTACCTAATAAGAGACTTAAGTTGAATGCTGATATCAAGACTCGGGTCGTTACAAAAAAACGCGTCCCCCAAGATTCGAACCCAAGACCCCTGCCTAATGAGAGACTTAAGTTGAATACTGGCATCAAGACCCGAATCTATATACCAAATCCGTTATATCATACGTACTATCTATTTTGGGTGAGCCTATATTCAAAAACAATCAATCATGCAATAAATAAGCAGTTAGACCACTCAAAATTAAAACAATATCATTTTTCGAAACAAGGCAATTGTGACATAAATAACACCCTTCGTCCTTACCCAAAAAAAAAAAAAGAGAGAGAGAGAGAGAGTAAGAAATTTGGAGAAAGGTAAAAAAAAAGCATAACAAGATAGACTNGTAAGAAATTTGGAGAAAGGTAAAAAAAAGCATAACAAGATAGACTTTTATTTAACAAATATATTTTCTACTAATTTCCAATCGATAAGTTGCCAGAAAAACCATAAATAAATTTAAAAATCAAGAAAAACTCACCTCTTATTGTTATTGCCTCTGTCTTCATCAGTCCCTTCCTCTTCCTCTTCTTCTTCTTGAGAATTTTCATCTTCTTGGTCCCCTCCATTCTCGTTAGCCATTTCTTCTCCTTGTTCTTCTTCTGGTTCTTTGTTTTCAGAAACATAAACCAGAATTCATGGAAGTGTTAAACCAGCAGTACACAAAATTTGGCAACAGAACATGTTTGGCTAAGCTTAAAATGGTAAAAGTTACTTCTAAGTGACAATTTGTTACCAAACATGTTTAAATAATTACCTTCTCCTTACTTTTAAATGAAAAAAGTTACTTAGAGCTGTTTGGTATAACTAAAATTCAGAGTAGATTTTGATAAAATTTGATAAAATATGTGATAAAAAAGTTTTAAAAAGTTGTAATGTATTGTTAAAATTAATTGTTAACTTTGACTTTAGGATGTGTTTGATTAGTTTTATTTTCCCTTGAAAATGTCATTTTCTACCCAAGTTCCTACTTTTGGAGGGTTTGATTGGCCATTTTTTTTAATGGAAAATATTTTCCAAAAGTTATGTTTTCCTCAAAAACAAGGAAAACATTTTCTTTATGGGGGATAGGTTTTTATTTTCTAGGCAATTCACACTTTTCAAAAACTCAACTTTATGGAAAAGTACAACATGTTCTAGGTTGAAAATTAAGCCAATAAAATACATTTAATTAATAATTTTCATGCTTGTAATCAAACACACCCTTAGATTTTTATCAATTTTAAGTCGTACAAAACATGGGCTTATTCTGAAAGTAACTCTTAATTGTCCAGATTAGAAACTTGCTTATTTTCAACTTTAACCAATAAAAATTCATTTTACTTCAATATTTACTTATAAATAAATATTTCAAGCTCCGCAAAACATGCTTGCTGTTTTGGCATTGCTTGACAATGTACAATACCTTGGGCTTCATCTAGGGGCCAAATGTGCTTGCTCAATGCTTTATTCATTTTGAACATATCTATACTACGAACACGAAAAATTCCATGCAAACGTTCATCGCATAAGATTTTTCTCCTGTCTTTTGGGTTTTGCAAGTTCTTCTCCCGGATATATGCCCAAATTTTCTTAACAACCTAGAAGGACAAACGAGATAATGTTAGAAAATGTATCTCTATTCTATCATATTTGACATGGCAAAGATAACCACTAAGAGAAAATACAATCAGTGAGCATGTTTGGCAATGCTTAGAAGTTACTTTTTGAGAAAGTAATAACTTCAAAAATAATATTCGGTAGAATAAATAACTTAGAAGTAAGTTTGAACTAATATCAACCACCACAATCATGACATACCTCGGTTCTGGCTAGCTCTGAAACCCCAAACAATTCCTGCAGTTGTGGAGAAAGGGCACATGGTTTAGTAAAACCCCGTCCATTTTTCTTTACACCTTTATCCATCTGGTTAGACCTACTCGATAAAATTGATAGAATATGCACAGAAAATTAAATAAAAACATACCATTAAAACATCAAAAAACAGCAACTGAGCCTTGACAGATTCAAACTGCAGTAAAACTCATATTTTTGTGGACAAAATTAAAAATTCTAATCTAATTAAATCAACATCAGCAATTACATAAGAGAAATGCTCTTATCATTCATAGCAGAGTTAGATTGCATGCAAAACTGCCAATGTTCTTAGCATTTCTATATTACCTTCATAGAGCAGAATGTTAAAAGAATTTTTTCCCTTAAATGCTTCCAAGTATTCTTTATTTTCTTTTCTGGGTCTTTCACTGAACCAAAAATTTAGGTATACGGTACAGGGTATAATCATGCATAGAGTAAAAGTGACATTGCGACGCCACAATTGGAACAAACATCAGAAGTTACAAAAGTTAAAATCACTATTAAGTTAACCTTTTGAGGAAAATAGTGAAACGAGAAGAAATAAGATTTTTCTCTATTATAAATTCCCCAATTTTACCATGGACTTAACTATTCAAAATAACAACAACAAAATTAATTTAACCATTTTGGAGAAAATAATTGAAAAAAAAAAAAAAAACCCAACCTAAAGAAACAAGAAAAGATGGGATTTTTTGTATTGTTCCTTCCACGTTTCTGACATAAATAAATTCCCAATTCATGAAACAAATAAGCAATTGATCGAAATTTAAAACAATGTGAAGGTTCAAAATAAAATAAATATTAAACAAACATTAACTAGCAACATTCGCCATGCAAAACCCTTCTTGCAAGAAAAATGAGCATAAAAATTGATACATGCCAAATATGAGCAAGAAAGGATTAAGTTTTTTAGAATATATTTCCCCAAAATTTCCCAACGAATAAATTCTCTATTAATCAATTAAAAATCAAGAAAATTTCACCTATCTTTACTGCTTCTGTCTTTATCGCTCTCTTCCATTTCCTCTTCTTCTTCTGAGTTTTCATCGTTTCCATTCTCATTTTCCTCTTCTTGTTCTTCTTCTGGTTCGTTGTTTTGACATTCTCTTAATTCATGAAGGAAAATGTCTATTTGTTCTCTAATGAAGTGCCTGCGTTCATGCAAATCAATTGAGAACTCCTCCTCGAGGCGACGGCGTACGCCACCTGCGGTGGTGGTGTTCAGGTCGGAGCCCTGAATGATTTCCCGGATCCGACCCACTAGTTCAGAATCCGACACCATTTTTATTCGCTCTTTGATCTTCAAGAAACCGTTCTGTAAGCGGGTTGCACTGAATTGATTAATCCGAGAAGAAGAAACGGAGGGTCACAGGAATGTAATTCAGAGCAAGGACGTAAAAGTAAGCTTGAATTCAATTTACCCCTCAAACTATCACTTATTAACATGTTGATCCTTGAACCTTTTAATTGTGCAACTTCTACTTCTTTATTAGGATATTTTACACGGACGGTCCCCAATTTGAAATAGGTTAATTAGGCACATCTACAGTTTAAAGAAAAATACAATTTTGTGAAAAATATTGTAATATGAGAGCAGCATTGTTTCACCCACATACATCAACAACTTACGTCAATTGCGAACTTGCAAAGGACATGCAAGTCCCTTGATTACCTTCCTTTGGATGGTCTTGATTACGATACCGTACTTGACAATGTAGCTACGAAATGCTTTTAAGCTATGTGCATATTCCTGTGAGCATTGTGGGACCGTTGTTGGTAAACAAGAGAGAATTATCTGTTCCCATGGTCACCACTTAGGGGTGCCTAGTGACCAATAACAATGGAGCATATGATGCCATTTATCAATTTAGAGGCCTCGGAGTTTATTATCAACAATTCCAACCGATTTTGTAGGATTTCAAAGCATTGAGCGTGTTGTAATTGATGTATATTTATGACAAGATCTATTATTTAATTGAATTAATGTTTTAATAAATTAAATAATAGAATCTGTATATTCAAGTCTTGGTAATTTGTTAATCACAGGGAATCATGATTCTGAGATACAAATTATATATGATTGAATCTTAAATCGTCCGTGGTTGTATGTAATAATGAGATACGGACATCGTTATCACTGATAGATCATCACACATGGCATTTCTTATTTGTGAAGTAAGTAGTTGATCTCACAAGTTAAAGTGTGATGACACTTAAATGAACACGTGGATGTTTTGTTATAGAATAAAACATTTGAGACCCGCTGTGGGAAATTTCACATGATAACTATCTGAGTGTCAGTGGTTAACCTCCAACGTTCGGTAGTTGAATTAATCGTTTGACTTGAGATCATCATAGTACCTTATATGAGGGTAATCATACTTTGGTGATATTGAATGTTGCCATGTCAAGTGTCACTAATACAATATCGTTCAAATATGTCAAGAATCATATGAAAGTTGTGAATGATCAATAGATTATTCGTCACTCTTAGATAGTAAGAAATTATGATTTACATTTCATTCAGTAAACTTGATAATGAAATCATTGGCCAATGTATACTCATAAGTCGAAAATGAGTTTTCGACTTTCATTGACTTAATAGTGGGACGAAAGATATGATCCATAATTGAAATTGACACATATCCATACCTTGTAATTGATCGGATCATATTAATAAATGGATTATAGTTTCATAGTAAACGAACAAGTTTGGTTTTATCATACCACGTGACATTTCCCATCACATATATTGCCCGACACATTGCTATATGTCAATCTGAGACGACGAATGTGAATTAATGATAATTTTAAAATGACTATTTTAATTTATCAATTTTAATTCGATCAAAATAATAATTCGCATTGTTAGGCATTGTGATTAAGAATTCGACGGGTCACACACAAAAGGAGAACCAGAAAAATGAGATTCACCAATTAATTAATTAATTAAAAGTGTTGTACAATTAATTAATTTGTAAAAGTAAGCTTGAATTCAATTTTACCCCTCAAACTATCACTTATTAACATGTTGATCCTTGAACCTTTTAATTGTGCAACTTCTACTTCTTTATTAGGCTATTTTACACGGACGGTCCCCAATTTGAAATAGGTTAATTAGGCACATCTACAGTTTAAAGAAAAATACAATTTTGTGAAAAATATTGTAATATGAGAGCAGCATTGTTTCACCCACATACATCAACAACTTATGTCAATTGCGAACTTGCAAAGGACATGCAAATCCCTTGATTACGATACCGTACTTGACAATGTAGCTACAAAATGCCTTTCAACTATGTGCGTATTCCTGTAAGCATTGTGGGACCGTTGTTGCTAAACAAGAGAGAATTATCTGTTCCCATGTCACCACTCAGGGGTGCCTAGTGACCAATAACAATGGAGCATATATATAATGCCATCTATCAATTTAGAGGCATCGGAGTTTATTATCAACAATTCCAACCTATTTTGTAGGATTTCAAAGCATTGAGCGTGTTGTAATTAATGCATATCTATGACAATATCTATTATTTAATTGAATTAATGTTCTAGTAAATTAAATAATAGAATCTGTATATTCAAGTCTTGGTAATTTGTTAATCACAAGGAATCATGATTTTGAGATACAAATTACATATAATGGAATCTTAAATCGTATGATTGAATCTTAAATCGTCAGTAGCTGTATGTAATAACGAGATACGGACATCGTTATCACTGATAGATCATCACACGTGGCATTTCTTATTCGTGAAGTCAGAGTTGATCTCACAAGTTAAAGTGTGATGACATTTAAGTGAACACGTAGATATTTTGTTATAAAATAAAACATTGGAAACTCGCTGGGGGAGATTCCACATGATAACTATCCGAGTGTCAGTGGTTAATCTCCAACATTCGGTAGTTGAATTGATCATTTGACTTGATGTCATCATAATGCCTTATATGAGGGCAGTTATACTTTGGTGATGTTGAATGTTGCTCTGTCAATGGTCACTAATACGACATCGTTCAGATATGTCAAGAATCATATGAAAGTTATGAATGATCAATAGATGATTTATCACTCTTAGATAGTAAGAAATTATGATCTACATTTCATTCAGTAAAGTTGATAATGAAATCATTGGCCAATGTATATTCATAAGTCGAAAATAAGTTTTCGACTTATATTGACTTAATAGTGGGATGAAAGATATGATCGATAATTGAAATTGATACATATCCATACCTCGTAATTGATCAAATCATATTAACGAATGGATTATAGTTTCACAGTAAACGAAGTTTGGTTTTGTCATACCACGTGACATTTTCCGTCACGTGTATTGCCCTGACACATTGCTATATGTCAAATTGGGACGACGAATGTGAATTAATGATAAATTAAAAATGGCTATTTTAATTTATCAATGTTGATTCGATCAAAATAATAATTCGCATTATTAGGCATCGGGATTGAGAATTTGACGGGTCACACACAAAAGGAGAACCAGAAGAATGAGATTCACCAATTAATTAATTAATTAAAAGTGTTGTACAATTAATTAATTGAGTTGTTTGTTAATATGCTCAAATTAATTAATTGGATTAATTAATTTATAGACCAAATTTAATTAATTTGATTAATTAAATATTGGACCATGTTAAGTTTAAGAAACGGGCCAGCCCACTTGGACTTATATTAATAAGCTATTAGAGTTTAAAAAAAGTGACAATTAGATAGTTGTGGATTACAGATCGTGATTATTTGTGTTCCAAGATCAGCAAAAAAGTTTACAGAATTTACAAAATGTATAATTTCTATCACAATTTCCATCTAAACATAAAGTAGATATGTGGTGAAAATTGAAAAATAATTTATTTTTCGCGGTACATGTTAAGAAAATTCCCAACATATGTTGTCTTAGGTAAAAATCCCTTCTCTGGGTTCTCGTGCAGCATCGAGGATGCCAATGGAAGTGAACATGGTCTTGGACTTCCCCCACAACAAATTCCAAGAAGTGAAGGTGATCGGCATTTCTGGTAATTAATCATGTAGTTTCTTTCATCTAATTGTCTTTTATTTTCCCTAATTTCTCTTTTGCATTACTAAAGATAATGCATAAATACAGTTTAAGCCTTTGTTTGAGCCACGTTAATATTTTCATTTTTATTCTTCTACTCATTTTTAACCACACATTCTTCAATAAAATAATATTTTTCATCATATCAATAATTTTTCTTTCTTTTTCAACCACACATTCTTCATCAATCAACTATTCTAAAATACATCATTCCAAAATAATGTGACTCAAACACACCCTAAACCTCAATTCTATAGTTTCTGTTGGCCTCAAATTTTTTTGTTCCTTCATGTCAGTCGATGTTTGCCATAGTTCATGCCTACTAGTATGTTACTTATCCACGCCGATATACACAATTAGGCACCAAGATCACCATATCAAGAAAAATTTCTCGTAACTAGTACTTCAACGAGCAAATCAACTGTCGAGATAAAAATTAAGAATTGCGTCCATTTACCTTTACATATGGCTATTTATAAGGAAAGAATCCACGTAGAATTAGGTTGAGATGTCGAAGCCTTCATCCATGTGTCATTCGCTCAATGGTTGGAGAAATAAGGTTCTTGTGGTTTTGTTTCCTTCTTTGATTGAATTATCTTGTACAGATTGATTCCTTTTTATATCTTCATGGATCTCAAAAAGTCCGCCTAGGTATTTAGGACTTGACAGGACAAGTTTCTATAGAATACATCCTCTTAAGATATGACCAATTGTTCCTCAATCTTTGTGAGAGTGTTCCAAGTTCAATCTATTCTTAATTATAGGACAAATCATATGTCGGATTTGACTGAGAATTTAAAAGGACATTTCAAGCGCATTTGCTCTGACTTGGATACAAAGTGAAGATTCATAAGCCTCTATAATGCACGAAGATATATTCTTTAGGTTTATAATATATTAAGCAAAAAATTTGTGGAAAATGATGTTTATTGACAAGTACACGTAGTTAAGAATTGACTGTATTTTAAACTGACAAATGTTAGAGTACTATGTAGCAAGATCTCTCTCCATCTCCTTTTTTTTTAAATGCTAATTCCCCTATTAAGGAATCCTAGCTACACCGTCGTGACAACTTGACCTCATATATATGCGTACTTTAGGCGCTTCACAATTTTATTTTGTTTTTCTTATATTGCTCAAAAATTTATTTTCACCTTAAAATGATAAAAAAAAGTGAAATATGTTATAAAAATTAGACCCCTCCAATCGACCAATGACGATTTTCAAATATTGTAAATTTAAAAGTATTAAGAAGTGTGGTTAGTACGTGATTAAAAATGACGGAGAAGTCGATATTAATTTACGCTAGCCTCAATAAAACAAACATGAATGACAATCTAGGCTTTGTTTAAGCCACATTTTTGTAGAATGAGAATGAAAAATATAGTCGTTATTGAGATTCACACAAGAGATAAAAAATTTGAATTTAAATGTTGATGTGATGGATAACGGTCATATTTTTCATTTTAATGAGATAAAAAGGTGGTCCAAACGAGGGCCTAATATTATGAGTTACAATAGAAGGGAGCTTAGGGTTTGTTTTAAGCATTTTTTTTAAAAAGTAGATTTTATAATAGTGATTTTTTAGAAAATATTAAAAAGTGGTGATTATTAATGGGATTAAAAATAATTTTTTAAAGAACTGAGGTTTTTGGACTAAGCCTATGTTTGGTACACATTTTGAGTTCAATAATGTATTTTTTGTTTAATGTGATGGGAATATGTGGTTGAAAAAGAAGGAAAAATTATTGATGTAATGTAAAATATTATTTTATTGAAAAATGTGTAGTTGAAAATGAATAGAAGAATAAGAATGAAAAAAATAATTGAGGTACTAACTAAATTATTGTAGTTTTGAATTTATGCTACCGTTTGACCACAAAACCTCCCTAGTTAATCACATGCCCGCGCAAAGCCGTGACCGCCGAACCCCTCCGCTGTCAGCACCAGTTTCTTCCACTTATCGGGAGCCTCGGAAGAGCACGTCAATTGGTATCACAATTTCAATTTCTTGATTTGAAGTTATTGGCTTCATTTCATTTTCTTGAAAAAGAATCCTAAAATCAAACTTTAGGGCTTATTTTATAAATTGGGATTTAAATTTTTAGCCTTTGGTGATCAACGGTAGCGCTGGGTCTAATGGCCAACGAAACTTCAGAATCTCAATCTCCTTCCGGTAAATTTCTCTCTACTCTTCTAAGGAAATCATTCTTTCTCAGATTTAGAGATTCTTGTATCTGGTTTATATTTTAACTGATTTTTGGTTCCTTGATTTTATTGCAAGACTTGAATGGAGGGAATAAGGAAACCAAAGACAAAACTATGGCCGATGAGTACAATGTCGATACTGCAGAAAATCTCGCAAATGAGGCAATGGTAAAGTACTTATTGTATTTGTGCCGTGAGGGTTTGTTTATTTGTTTTTCACTTTCAATTTTCTTTTTGGTTTGTTATAAGTATGCATATTTTTCTTCCTCAGCGTTTGCCGATCACAGAGGCGATGCCAACATATGAACAACTTCTCGCCACATTCCCCACTGCAGTAAGCCCCTTAACTGGACATAAATGCCTTTCTTTGTCACAACTGTTTAAATTCATATTGTGATTATGGTTTTTCCACTTCCATAGAATTTTTGACAGGCACATTCATTGAAAATAATGAGAACAAACTTGCTTTGCTGGCTATAGTCACGTACTTTTGATATATTAACAAGTCAAGATCATGATGTGAGAATATATGTTTGTTCGTCATACAATACTCGTATGGCACATGTATCAACATCCCTTACTTCAAACTTGAATTCCTACCAGCATTAGTATTTTTTGCATTTGATGGTGTATGATATTTTGATCTTTTTGCCTCCCTTGGTTTCTTTGTTCATTAAAAGTCAAAAGAACCTTAGACAAACCTGTTATTTTTGTTAGAATATTATTAATCAGAAAAATATGACTTTTAGAATAGGCTTAGTGGCTTCCTGGGGGTGATAATCATTTTTCATACATCATTAGATAATGCACATGTTCCCCAGACTTTACATTTTAGAGGAAATATCCATGTTGGAAGCACTCGACAAGGATAAGGGTATAGGATCCTTTAAATCAAAGTGGATCCTTCATATCGTTTTTGTTATTTAGGTATCGTATTAAATTGATTCCCAAATTTGTTTTTAACATTACTAGACTTAAAATGAATTTCAAATTAAGTATAACAATTTGCAATTTAATTTGTTAGATATTTGAAGTTAAATATATAATATATATACCTAAAAATGCATCTAAAATGATCAGTATATAAATTTGTAAATTAATTTTAAGTTTGTGAAATGTATCCACGTACTCATGTCTAAATTTTGGATCCTTTTTAGCTATATATTCATGCCTTAAATTTTAGAAAAAAATGGAATCGCTTCTAACCTTTATCGAATACCTACACCCGAGTCCAAGCAACATAGGACAATGCGTAGCTTCTTGCTATGTTTCATTATAACTCAAGCATATTAATTATAAGTGTTTGGCCCAACTCGTTAAAGGACTTTCAGTGAAGCTTCAGTATTATTCCATTACCTATTTGGCTATTTCTCTTAAAAATTACGCTGTCATGAAAATGTATTGACTTTTCTCTTGGATAATGTTCTTTTGTGTATTTTTACTTCTGAATCTACCGTATTGCTTGTGTAGGCAAGATACTGGAAACAGTATGTTGAAGCATTCATGGCTATAAACAATGATGATGCAACAAGACAAATATTTAGCCGCTGCTTGTTGAATTGTTTACAAGTTCCTCTTTGGTATACTTTCTTTGTCGCCTCATTCTTTTTTTGTTCAGTTTGGGCTCTGGGAGGGAGCAGGTTTTCGGTAAACTAATAGCATTGTATTTTCTATGAGTCATACAATATTTATTTCAACTGTTCTTTTTGGTTGCAAGTGTCTGATCTGCCTCTTTGTTGCTATCTCTCGCAGGAGCAAGTTAAATTTATCTGCGTGGTTTGTTTGTCATGCATTATATTCTGTTAAAATATCATTCCACTATTTTTGTTTCAATTGCAGGCGATGTTACATCCGTTTCATTAGGAAAGTAAATGACAAGAAGGGAATAGAGGGTCAGATGGAGACTAAGAAAGCTTTTGATTTCATGCTTAACTATGTTGGTAAGTTATATTCTTAATAGTCTTCCTAGAATGGTCATTGTTAAGTCCATTCTTACAACTTACTGTGGTAAAAGTTCCTCGTGATAAAAGAGCTGGCTTATGATGTGACTTGTAAAGTAATCTTGATCCGAGTTGCATATTATAATCTTGTGGTTTTCTTTTTGTTGTGGTTATGGTGATGATTAGTAGCGCTGTAGATGAACTGAGATTCAAACAGACCTATTTGTATATGTTTGTTCACTTGTTTATGAGGGGTTTTAATCCATATTCACATGTACTGAGACTAAAAATTTTGTTCATTAACAGTCATTGAACAAATGAGCTATCTGATAATTCTGTTTCTTTTGTTCAGTTCTTAGATAATATACATAATTATATATAGTAGATTGTTTTAGTGGTGTTTATGGGCGGCACCTCCTTGTTGTCCATGTAATGAAATATTTACTGTTCAAAAAAAGTTTGCTTCAAGATGTAATTTGTTCTCCTGGACCTCTTGGAATTTTCCTGTTTGGTGAATTTACGGTATCATGACTCTATAGTTTTTCACCTTTACTTTGAAATTTAATCAAACTGTTCTAATTATAATTATTTTACTTGGTGCTAACAGGTGAGGACATTGCATCTGGTCCTGTGTGGATCGAGTATATTGCATTTTTGAAAACTATGCCGGTTTGATTCTACTCTACATGCATAAACAACCGTGTTAACTGCTCCTATGTTTAATTTAGTATTTCTGTTTAATGCTCTTATAAGAGATGCTGCTGCAGGCACAAACCACACTAGAAGAGTCACAAAGAATGACTGCCATTCGGAAGGCATACCAAAGGGCCATCGTTACTCCGACCCATCACGTTGAACAACTTTGGAAGGACTATGAAAATTTTGAGAATTCGGTTAGCCGTGCTCTGGTAAGACTGCATATGGTCTCAATTTAACTGGTTGGTATGACATTTTATGCTGGACTGTATTTTTTAAACTTGTGTCAAGATTCATGTCAATAAGTTTGAAACACTTGTTATGTAGGCCTGCAAAACGCAACTTTTGTATTGACTTTTATTTTTTGAAACGGATTCAATCTGCGTGTATTAGTTGGTAATTTACTTTTGCTTTCGAGTAACGTGTCTTGCACAATGTCTTAAGAAGTGATTAGCATAACTTGACTTACATAACTTGATTGTAAGTCTGGTCGCTTCTATCTGCATTTGGAAGTTATTGGAGATAAATTATGCCAGCTAACTTCGCCACTTCTGACTTACTGTTATGTTACTATGGATACAGGGAAGTTCATTGGATGAATATCTAGTTTGATTCCTCATGACTCGATATTATTTCTGCAATGATTAGGTTTTTTTGCTTAATTGTGTGTTGGACTTCTTTAGCGTTCTAGTATTCGTTTTCATAATTTCTCTCAATGAGTTTCCTTAACTTACTATCAGATTTTTTTTGGACATCCCCAAGTTTCCCCTCTGGATTCCTTTACCACAAAATAGATATTTAAAAAAAAAAAATTAAGACAGAGAAAAGAAAGATGCAGTTAAATAATATGATAAATGTCCATGATCGGAACTTGGAAGTCACATGAGATTTTCCATCATTGTTCATTGAAGACATTGCATGCTGACACTTACCTTAATTAGTAATGGCTTGCTAGATACGTTTCTTTATGGAACTTGCGATCTGATTCCAAATATCTTGCAGGCAAAAGGACTATTGTCTGAATATCAACCAAAATATAACAGTGCGAGGGCTGTTTATAGGGAGCGTAAGAAGTATGTCGATGAGATTGACTGGAATATGCTTGCTGTTCCACCTTCTGGTTCTTCTAAGGTACTACCTTGCACCAAAGTCCAGTACTTCTTGATACTTCTTCAAGGCTATTTGTATAGGTAAAAATGCCATCCTTGTATGCATTGTTTAAAAAGGCGATTGTGAGGTGCACCTTGAGATGAGGTGCTGAGAATTAGTCTCGAGGTTACACCACTACTGATTGAAGCGCAAGCCTCTCACCATGAGAGGCATGCGCCTCGTTTATGGTGTGTTGGATTGGGGGCCAACTATTTATTGAAAACCTACTTATTTTCTTAGATTGACCAGCCTTGGAAAGTCCAACTTGTGCTGGTTATTAAATAATCAGCCGTACATGATAATAAATAAAGCCAACCCAAACTTAAACACAACACACGTAAAGCTTTCGCACCAACTGTAGAACTGTTCACCATTCAGCTTTTTTTTATTTTTTTTGGTTTCTTTCTTTATTATTATTATTATTATTATGATTTTTTGTTTTTTCTTCCCCTGGCTGATTGACTATTTTGTCTCACCCTCTCATTTCTCCTTAGAAGAAAAAACCTATAAAATCCATGATAGATACATGATACATGCATCCACTAACTAGATGATATATTAATTGATTCTGAAATTAAATTTAATCATTATTGGAGAAAATAAAAGAGTTTTGAGATGGAATTTTTTAAAATTGTTATTTTTATATTCTTTTGGCTCATGGGAGGCTTATGGCTCAAAGTGCCTCACCTCGCAAATGGAAAATGCCTGAGTACCAAATTTCGCCTTTTTACACTTCTGGTATGGTTGCTGTTGGGTGAGTGACAGTTATTTGTGGTACATCGATAAGTTCAATTCTTATTGCCTTTTATGTGCGCCTAGATGAAACTCTGCAGCTTTGCACGAGTAGATAAAAGAACTAAGCGTATTACTTTGATACACTTTTGATGATTGGCCATTTTTTATTTGCAGTCTTCTAACGGGAGTGCATACCTTTTGATATAGTCTCTTGATTTATTGAAAACAATTAGATATTGTATATATGTGCGCCTGCATGTATACCAGAATGTAACTTATTATGCATTTTATAGGAAGAAATGCAATGGATGGCTTGGAAAAAGTTGTTATCATTTGAGAGGTAAGTTGATGATCTTCACATTTATCTGGCATCTTACTGTTGAGCAGAAGTATAATTCCATTAAGCTGTCTGTAATACTGTATAGTACCATGTAAATAATTTAAATTCAATCAACAATCAAACTAGGTGTAAGAATGTTGTACTAACATGCTATTTGGAGGCTTCGTGCTCCAAGATAATGTGTACTGTTTCCACTCCGTTTAACTGGATCTGTTATAAGGGTGCTGAGATATTGGTTTTATTGGGATCTGTTTTCTAAATATAGGAGTTATGCTCTTGGAAATCCTTAAATTTAGTATATTGGTTAAAAAGTAAGGACAAATTATTGATGTGATGAAAAATATTATTTTATTGAAAAATGTGTGGTTGAAAATGAGTTTTGAAAGAATGTATTTTGAAAGAACGTGCGTCAAACATGGGCTATATAAATTTGATGTATGTATGGATTGATAGGGTTAAATTACATCACAAAAAAATTGAGCAACTGTGTGAATAGTTATTGAAGTTATTATTTACTTATTGTAATAGTCATTCAACTTTTTACAGATTGCACCGATGGTCATTCGATTAAAAAATATTAACGTTAAATCCTACGCAGCATTAATTACCAATATATCATCAAACAATATTTTTGTTACTTCAAGTCCACAAAAGTTGTTTTTTTTTTTTCCAAAAAAAGTGGGCTTACCATAAAATTTAAGCAAAAAAACAAAAAATATACAAAAAGTAAAGTTGCATTACGCTTTCTCATCTGAGTTTAATCCCGAATTCCTAATTCTACATTTATTTTGTTAACCTGGTATAATAACTATGTTTGTTGACACACTAATATCGCTCGTAAGATTTAACGTTAATATTTTTAACTGAATGACCGTTAGTATAAGCATTAGAATAACATATATTAGGATATTACTTATGATTATAGCGTTGTGAAATTGGAGCGCATCAAATGAATGTTACAACTATCTTTCCAAATGGACATTTAGACGAAAAATTTCCATAGAACAACCCAAATGATTTTCTTTGTTCAAGCAAGAAAAGGTCTATAAGTTGGTGAAATCATTGTATGACTTGAAACAAATATCAAAATAATGGCATGAAATGTTTAATTATGTCATGATGGAAATTAGATTTAAAATCCATGAGTGCGACAAATACGTTTATGTGAAAAACACCGAGAATTGTTATGTCATTTTATATCTTTACGTTGTCGATATGCTTATTGTTGGTAGCAACAATAAGATGATTAAGTTTATTAACGATATATTGAATTCAAGATTTCACATGTAAGATATTTATTTACCTAATTTGATACTTGGAGTTCAAATTTCAGGAACATTAGATTAACTCGTTCCAAGCCAATCATAAAATCACATTATGAAGACAAATTTTTTGAAATTTTCAACAAAGATAATTCTGGCATGACTAGAATATCGATATATACAAGTCAACATCTATCTAAAAATAAAGGTTAGAGTATCTTTCAAATAGAGTACTCTAGAGTTATTGAAAGTCTAATATACTTGATAATTGTACAATACCAAATATAGTCTACGTAATTTGAGTAGTTGCACAAGCAATCCAAGAGTTGACCACTAGAAATGAATAATAAGGTACTTAAGATATAATCTAGCTACGAATTGCACATTGAAGGATATAGTAATGCTAACTAGATATCTATAATATATTAAATATCGCATGAAGTGAGAATAACTTTTTGGACGATTTTAGCCATACTACAATTTAATTATTTCAATAGTACCCTACTTTTCGTTTTTCAATTGAAACGACGACTACGCGAGCTAATGATAGAGGCAAGAACACTTTCCGGCCAAGTCCCATTAATTGATCATAACGATAGCGTGGAAATGCTGCACGGACCCATATATAGAGAAACGGAAACAATGTTTTAAAGTTGTTGGAGCGAAATAGTGTCAAGTCCTTTAATTTTCTGACAAAGAATTAAGACTCGTTCTGGCATTGTGATAGCTAGGGTCGTTCGAGAACCAATATGATTATATGACACAATTATTCCAATTTCACCCTAGTGTCTCCCTGCACTCTCCATTTTTCACTTCTTTTTTCTCATCCATATGGAGTAGTTTGATCCAGGTGCCGTGGTTTTAACACAACTTTTCCTGGCATCCTCATCTTGGCTTATTGCTGTAATTTGCCTTTTGATATTTTCTTGCTTTCCGCAATAATTTTGTTTCAAGTAGCCAGAATATCTGGCCAATATATAATAAACTCATAAATATAAAGTTCCTCTCAGAGACTACATGACTTCTGTGTCCACATTTTTTACAGAGGAAACCCCCAGAGAATTGACAATGTTTCTGCAAATAAGCGAATTGCATTTGCTTATGAGCAGGTAATGAAGGTTCAACTATTAATCATTTTCTTGCTTGTTACTTCTTACTTTATCATGTGGCCTGTTACTTATTACCTCATCATGCTGCGTGTTACTTGTTACCTTATCGCATGGCTTGTTACTTTGTGTCAACGCTGACCACATCAATTTCATAAAAGTGCTATTTCCTATCTTGACTAAAGGCAGATAATTGTGAGGTATGCTCATAAAAAATGCTGTGTGGAGACACAATGGTTAATTGGTAATAATAGATACATTCAAAATATGTATAATTAAGGTTCTGATATTAACTGGAGATTGTATTTTCCTTGAAATTTGGAACTCATTTCTGACAACAAAATATAATGACTTAACAATTTACAAATTTCAAACTGCATCTATATGCTATTATCATAAAAGGGTTTCCAGCTGTATTCCAGAATGCGTGATCTAGAGCTTTTGTTACTTTTGGTGCTTTCTGCGTCAATTTAACTGACATAGAATTGTATCTCCTGCTAGTTGGATTGAACTGTCCTATATGCAGCCGGTGCATACCAAAAGGCAAAAAGTGTACCCGATTTCTATGTATTCATAATTTTATGAACTCATGCATATGCCTGCGTAAGATGATTGCTGAATCTTCCAAGCTTCATCTCCATGTTGCATTTCCATCTGAACTACTAAGGCCTGGATACTTCTATCTTTAGCAACTTTATTGTCGATGCACAGCCTTGTGAATGGAACTACATTATATTGCATCTGTGCCCGATCATTTGTTTGTTCAGTTGGTGCTCTGTTCTTTTACAAGTTTCATGCGCTCTCCCCATCCCATCCAAAAAAAAAAAAAAAAATCGAAAAAAAAAAGACACAAGTCAAGAGAAGAGAAAACTGCTCACACATTTGTTTCCATGCTAGTGCCTCATGTATTTATATCATTACCCTGATATATGGTATGACTATGCCACGTGGCATGCAAAAAGTGGTTCCATAGACCCTGCAATCAAAGTTTTCCAGCGAGCATTGAAGGCTCTTCCCGGTACTTATCTCTTGCTGAAATAATTTATATTTCTAAGGTTTTGGTATGTACTGTAAACTTAGTTCTGTTGTCAGTGTCTTCAACTTGATATAAGGAAAATATTTTGTCCTGCTGTTTGCCTCTCACAAATTTGGTGTTACTTCTTTCGCTTTCTCCTTTCATGCCAGCATTTTTTCACATTTTCGTTTGATAATAATTTGTTTTATGCTTGATGTTCAGCTTCAGAAATGCTAAAGTATGCTTATGCAGAGCTTGAAGAATCACGAGGAGCTATTCAGGTATGATTTATGCATTTCCACTTGTCCCTGTGGCGAGGCTGGGCTTATATAATCTACGTGCACTTTCTTCCATCAAAATTTTGGATGTATTATATTCACATTTCCTTGTCTTGGCAGGCTGCAAAGAAAGTATATGAAAGTCTTATAGGGGATGGAGTTGATGCAACAGCACTGTCACATATCCAGGTATTTGAAACATTAAGGATCAACGGAGAAAAAATAGAAAAATGTTGTACTCAGCATCCTATCTTGAAACTTCGAAATAGAATAATTATTTTACGTCCTAAGTTGGTATGATTACTCTCTTTTGCAGTTTATACGGTTTCTAAGAAGAACGGAGGGAGTTGAAGCAGCTCGGAAATGCTTTCTGGATGCCCGCAAGTCTCCAAATTGCACTTACCATGTTTATGTTGCATACGCGACGATGGCCTTTTGTCTTGATAAGGATGCCAAGGTGATTAATAGTTCTATAAATGGGTTTAGATTTTATGCTGAACACTAATTGAACATGGAGGGCTCTAGTCATGCCTGTTTAAGACCCCTTCCTGTTGCAGTGACTGAGGAAAAAACTTGTCCTTTCATTTTTGTGAAAAAATGGGTATTTTTCCCCTCTAGTCCTTTCCCCATGCACTTTTGTGCTTGCATTATCTGCTTATTCCTTTGCATACCTATTTAAGGTGCTTTTTTTTTCCTTTTAACCTACTCTGAACTTATGAAGCCATGTTAAATATGATTAGTACAAAAAGACATCCTATTCTTGGTTTTTGACCGAAGTATTTTATCTTAATCTTGTTGTATACATATGCAGCTTGCACATAATATTTTTGAAGCTGGTTTGAAACGCTTTATGCATGAGCCTGGTTACATTCTTGAGTAAGTTTTTCTTGTACTTGACTCAGGACTGGTTTATATCTAACAGTGCTTGGTATTCTTGATGTCTGATTTCTATATGATGTAGAACTTAGGTATAACTGTTTTGTTGTGTAGTACAGTACATGTATGCATTGCTCAACTTGTATAGTTGAAACACCCACTAATATGTGTAATAATAGTATTAAAAAATGCACACACTGCAACAATTATGTATCTGTGGTTTCTAGTCTATTGACACTTGTGCACTTATAATGAAATACCCGCTAATGTGTAAAAACAGTATTAAAAAATGCAGTCACACTGCGCTACAATTATGTATCTGTGATTTCTAGTGTATTGACACTAGTGCACTTATAGGGAGATTTTCCACGCGTGTAGAATGTACACAAATCTCAGTTATCTGTTATCCTGATATTGCAGATATGCAGATTTCTTGTCCCGTTTGAATGACGATAGAAACATCCGGGCTTTGTTTGAACGAGCATTGAGCTCACTTCCACCCGATGAATCTGTTGAGGTACATCATTCTGTACTAAATTAGCAATTTTGACTAGATGAAGATATAGGTTTGTACAGGTCAAGTTCGTACTTTGAACATATTATGTGTGTTTGATGATGTATTTGGTTCCATATCTTTTTGAGCACCAACTTGAAAAACTTGTAATGGAAAGAATGTTTCATGACTCCAATAACCTGGTGACATTGAGTGCTTCCAGTATAGAAATTATTTAAATTGTCTAGCAAAATATTCAGTTGAACCTAGTCCTTGCAGAACTTCTAGGTGATGTTGTAACTCAATGACCAAGAAAAGATGACATCCATTATTACTCTCTAACTCAGAGACTTGAAATTGCCTGAAAATTTTAGATTTTCCATTTGTTCCATCTTTTCCTTTTCCATTCCTTACATTGTATTTCACCTCCTAATTATTGACTTATTAGCAAAATTTTCTAATAGTTATATTGCTTCATTTATCAATGAATGAATAAATTCTATATATGTTGTAGGTTTGGAAAAGATTTTCCCAATTTGAGCAGACATATGGAGATCTTGCCAGCATGTTGAAGGTATCCTACATTCTTGGATAGCACTATAAGCAATTCCACTATCTCATGGTTGTCATTCTTTTTAGATAGAATTTGTGGACTTTCATAAAATGTGAATTACAGTTGCTGTATTGTCAAAATGCACAATATAATAGGTTTAAGATGAATTATCGGTTTCAACCTCAACCATATTCATCCTTATCTATTTAGTTTGCACAATTCAATGTTGTGAACTTGTAATATATTAAATGCATGCTTGGTTGTGCTTAAATAAATTATTCTTTTATTGGTCAAAGTTGGAAATAAATAAGTGTATGTTTGGCAAAGTTTTTAAGTACTTATAAGTTGTTCAAAACATCAGTTTTGACCCCACATTCCTTTGGACCCAGTGCTTATAAGCACTAAAATGCTTAGCCAAGCAAGCACTACGTAAGGCAAGAGTTACTATGGTAAAAGTAACCTTTTTTACTTAAAAGTAGGAAGAAATAAGTTATCCAAAATTTACTGAAAAAGTGACTTCACCTTTTTTAAGGCTTCTCCAAACATGCTCCAAGTGTATTAATTATATTTATTGGATCCCTCACCTTCGGCTACACTCTTGTTATAGGTTGAACAAAGGAGAAAAGAAGCTTTATCTCGAACGGGGGAGGATGGAGCATCTGCTTTGGAGAATTCACTGCATGATGTCGTATCACGTTATAGTTTTATGGATCTGTGGCCTTGCTCGTCTAGGGACTTGGATCATTTGGCCCGACAAGAGGTATTTTCCTCTGTAGATATGTAGTTTTTTTCCTGGTGCTTCTGATCTTGTTCTTCCAACCCCAGACTAAAGGCAACTAGCATAAATATGTTTTTATCTGTAATATTTGATATTCCTACAATTTTTCAATTACTAATAAGATTTAACCCCCCCCCCCCCCCACCCCCTAGTGGCTCTCGAGAAACATCAATAAGAAGATTGAAAATCCTGCACCTGCTAATGGAACTGGTTTTGCTGGTAAAGTTATTACTTGACGCTGGTCTTGTGTCAATTGCTCTGGCATTGCACCTAATCTTTCTCTCTTGAATATAGATAACATTTCAGGAGTTCCAAATAGCTCGAATCTCTTTGGAAAAGTCGTTTATCCAGATACATCAAGGATGGTAATTTATGATCCAAGGCAAAAGCCTGGTATGAGTTACTTGTCTTCTTATTCTATTTGGTGCTATTTCATTGGTTATAATATCATGTATGGATAGGTTCACTTTGAGAATATAGTCAGAGGCTATTGTCACAATTTAATGTGAACAAAATTTAATTTATCAGAAAAAATATGATTAACAACTGAAACATATCAATGCTTTGTAATTTGATCATGCCTCATACTAATACACTGAAGGCTGTATTTTAAGTTCATTTGACATGTATTTGTAAATTCTCAAAGCCTGGTATGAGTTGCTTGTCTTCTTATTCTATTTGGAGCTATTTCATTGGTTATAATATCATGAATAGATAGGTTCACTTTGAGAATATAGTTAGAGGCTGTTATCACAATTTAATGTGAACAAAATTTAATTTATGAGAAAAAATATGATTAACAACTGAAACATATCAATGCTTTGTAATTTGATCACTCCTCATGCTAATACACTGAAGGCCGTATTGTAAGTTTATTTGACATGTATTTGTAAATTTTCAATGCATATTGTGAAGTCTCTTCATTGCTTAACTGTTAATTCTGAATTTCTTAGGTCCTCCTGCCCCTGGACTATCTAATGTTCCAAGTACCTTTCCTTATGGTGTTACATCAAGTTTTGGTGGAACAACGAATGCACTCAATGATATGGCAAAAGCCTTACCGCCAGCATTGGCAGCCTTTGTGGCAAATTTACCAGTTGTTGAGGGTACTCATCTGAACTCTTTTATCCACCCACACCAAGAATAAATAACTGTTAAACATTTTAATTGCATTGACAAGAACAGGTTGTGATTCTTGTATCATATAGAAGAAAACAAGCTTTACCAAACATATCCTGAAGTATATCAATCTAATACGAGGAAAAGTACATTTTTGGTTGAAAGAAAATACTACATGGTGTGCTTCTACGAGGGTGATAACCCCCGTACTCAAATACAACTTTTTTTTTTTTACCCCGAAGGATGAAATTGATATGCAAAGTTCCAAGAAGATTTCATTCTTGAACAAACATCCATTTTTTGATTTATTTCATCTATTCCTTGAGCTGAACAGTGAAATGGTTGGGGAGGGGAGAGGAAAGGTTCTTTTTTTTTTTTCCTTTTTTTGATGGTACTCCTGCGAATAGATCCAGTGGAGATGGGGCGGGGCCTGTAGGGTGCGAATTCATTTTCGTATCTTTGTCGATGGCTAATTGTTGATTGTTGATGCTGGAAATGCTAGGTCCATGCCCTGATGTTGATTTTGTAATATCCATATGTTTGCAAAGCAACATAACTTCAGCAACTGGGAAATCACCTCAACAGTTACAGGCCGGGCCTGTCCCAAGTTCCAGTGACCTTTCTGGTTCAAGCAAATTAAAACAAACAAGTGACAGACAGCCGGGAAAGAGGAAAAATTCAGAGAGTATGATTTTTCCTTACTTCGATATTATGGTTTATGTTACTAAATTCGCTGAATTACTTTTCATCACGAGTGGACAGTCTTGATTCCTTGTAATTAGATGGAAAGATAATATCTATTACCATGGTGGTCAAATCTACTAACAACTTGTAATGTAGGCTTGTCGGCATCCATATATTTCCACGTTCCATTATTTCTATGGCTGTGTGCATTTCAAGAGCTTTTCATTTAAATTTGGCATAAAGATTCTCTTGCAACACAAATGCAGAATTTGTTTAACGATTTCAAATCTTTCATATTTATAGTTTGTTATTTTACCAAAATTTGTTTCCTTTCATTTTCTCCTTATCTTCTATTATCAATTTGTATTTTGTTTGGTTTCCATTCTTTGCTACTTTTGTCAGCCCGTTTTGTTTCAACTAGGAGGTAATAAGTTACCACTGTGTATGATCTGTAGGGCAAGATGACGATGACACTACGACTGTCCAGAGCCAGCCATTACCTAGAGATGCTTTTAAGATACGCCAATTACAAAAGGCTCGCGGTAGTAGTTCACGTGCGGGTGGTGGTGGTTCTGCATCATATGGGAGTGGGTTATCTGGCGACTTCTCTGGAAGTTCCAGTTGAATGTACTTCATCTTCTTTTTGTTAATTTAATTTTGTACATAAATCGTAGTTGCAAGTTATCTTTATTATACAAGTAATTTTCTGTTGTTTAACAGGAGTGTAACAGAAGGATTTGTGATGACTGTTGTACACAATGAACCATTTTTGTATCAATTAATAAATGAGATTCTTTTGTTATTTTTCCACCAATTCAAATTATGAACTGCAAAATAATGGGCAATTTCAATATCTGGTACGCTAGATTGGACTTGGACTTGGGCTGACTTCTCACTAGGGGTCGGCAGACTTCATGGGCCAATCTATGAGGGTCTGTTTTTAGCTAAACAAAAATAATTTGAGAGAACCGTAAAATGTGCCATTTATAATGTTTTTCTGATCAATCATGCTACAAGTAGGGTGGTAAATAGATTGGATATGTTGGATATCTCAATATCCGATTCGATAATCCAAAGTATATTTGAATATTAAATTCATATTCGATTTGCAATGTTATCGGATATCCGATCCGAAATTAAAGAAATTGAGAAAATAAAATCAATGCTGAAATTAATTTTTTCTTCCCCAATTTTTAAATTCTTAAACGGTTTAGTAAATTTTTTGAACTTTTTAACTTTTAGTCAATTGGATTGAGAGACACAAAAAGTTGTTTAGCCATTTATTGACCCACTTATTTATAGAGGACATTTCCAAACATTTTATTATAAACTTTCAATGTAGGATAAAAATCAATTTGGTTTGACTGTAATATATTGTACCTTTAGTTTGACTGTAGTTTATTATACATTCGGTTTGATTATAGTGTATTGTATTATTATATAAATAGTTATTTATAATTTATTAAATTAATCTTTTTTCCTATCTTTTACTAATTAATAAAAATTTAAAACCCTCCAAATATTTTAATTAACACCATTATACTTTACCTTATTTATCGAATATATTTATTTTATTAAGCTAAGCTATATTTGGTAGTATAATTTATATGTATTATTAAATGACTTTAAGATTGACTAAAAATTTAAAATAATATTAAAATAAGAATATACATTTTTACGTTTTGTTACTCATAGGTTATTTCGTCTAGACTTGCCTAGCCGAAACCTCCATGTTTTGCCACGCATTACACTTTTTAGAATATTGTGTACACGTGGATTGACTTTCTTATTTTTTTTTTATGTTTTGAATTTGTTGATTTTTTTATTCTAAATTTTTTTATTTTCTCATTTTTTTATTTTAGTGACAAATAACATGTCATAAAAATATTTTACCGATCCAACCATTTATAATAAATCGGATCGGGTTGTTATCGGATCAAATTGACCTATATTCATATTTGATCTATTTAATTATCAGATTATCGATCTGGAACCTTAAATTCATCTCCCATTAATTTCATCGGATTCACATTAAAATTCAATTCATTGACAGTCCTAGCTATAAGTACAAAAATTTTTGACAGAAAATCCTTACAGACAACACATGGTGCGAAGAAGGTAATAAAAAAAATAGTCCAATCACATTTTACCATGTCAACATCGATACACATTCTGTTAAATTTTTCAAGTACTTGGAGCTTTATTCTTTTCAGATAAGGTTTAGATTGATCTTTTCTTGATAAACAAACAGGCACTTGCCGTCTGTTAACGTTTGTATACTTTCAATCTTCAATAACAGGCACTTTTGTCCTTTGGGAGATGAAAAGGCCGGATTTTAATTGCTTCACGTGATAAAAGAATGAACAAATACGACCACAAATATAATTGTATATGTACACTGGTTATTTCCTTGAGTGAAATGGTGGGAAGAAGCAGCGAAAGATTGAAGAAAAAAATAGACACTTCTATCACTTTTGTTAGGTGGGAAAAAAAAGCGAAAAATAGAAGGCGAATAGTTGTAGTTCTTGGGTGGTTAATTGAGGTGGTCGATTTCGATTGGATTGATAAACTGAGCCCGGATTCCACAAATAAAACATCGATTCCGCTACATATGGTATCAGAGCTTGGGCAGGTAAGAAATGTGTGTTTTTGGGTGAAAATCTAGTTGAAATTGATTAGAAAAAGGACCAGAAGAATCTGTCTAGTTTTGAAATTTTTAAAACCGAACTAGTAAACGTGTTTTTCGGCCATATCACTTACTTGTTGGACGAATGAAGACCACTAGCGTGTTCAGCAGATCGAGGTGTACCTGGGTGGGTGGCGACGGCATATGAAACTCCGACGGCCATGCATGTGGGCGCGTGCGGCCTTCTCCGACAATAATTTCTTCAAACAGTTTTCTACCGAAGAGACGGACCCGCAGTGGTGTTCGTCTTCAGTTTTGAGTGCTACATTGAATTTGGACGATTCTACCTTTGCTCTTTTGGGATTCACTTTTGCTCGATTGGTTGATGTTGTTGGAGAAACTTTATGACGAATAGTGGTGGCCCTAAATTTTGGTAAATTCGCATTTCTCGATATTTACGGACCTTTAGACGTGGTCCGCTCTTGTATACTGGCTTATCCCATTTAATATTAGTATTAGCGAGTTATCGTGTAGGGTGACATTAGGATTGTGGTTATTGTGTGGGTAACCATTTCTTATGCTAGAATTTAGAAATTATTTGTCATATTTGAACTGTAGATTCTGATTGCAAGTCGATAATTATTTTTTTGCTTTAATTGTCGTTTAGTCATTGTGTGAGACTGCATTGCGTGATAATTTGAATTTTCGTCGACATACCTTCGTGTTGTATTGATTATTTTGTTTGAACACTGAACGCCTAGACTTGACCCGCTTGAACATTACCTTGATACCGAGATTGTGAATCTCACGAAACCCTAGAAATCTTGAACGATGTATATTACGGCCTTAGGATTACTATGTGTGACCTATTTGTACACTTTGTTTGTTCTTTTTTGTCCAAAATGTCTTCACATTTCAAATTAGATTTTTCAATTTGACAACAAAAGATGAAAGGAGTTTTGGTTCAACTAAAAGTTTTGGAAGTCATAAATGACAAATTTCCTACAAATTTGATGGAAGCACAAAAAGAAGAATATGATGAACTTGCTTACACTTCAATTATTTTACATATGTCGAATAATGTTGTGAGAAAAGTTGAAAAACTTGATATTACAAAAGAATTTTGAAAAAAGTTGGAGGACTTATATTTGCTTAAGTCTACTACTAATAAACAGTACTTGCTTGAGAGACTTTTAAATTTCAAAATGAATCCTTCAAATAATTTTGAGGACAATTTGGATGTTTTTAACAAATTGGTTCAAGACATTGTTAATTGTGATGAAAATGTGTTTGAAACACATAAGGTCATTATTTTGCTTAATTCTATGTCTGATTCATATAGAGAGATTAATAATGCAATTAAGTATGGTACTTAGGGCTATAATTTAAGGCTGAAAAAGATGATAAGAGGAGTGGTGAGATACACATGATGAGGAGTAGAATGAAATTTAAGCAAATGAATTTGGGTAGAGCTCAAGACAGTAGCGGTAATTAGGGTGGTAAGAAGAAGGGCAAGGGATGTGACAAGTCTAGTGTTAGACGGGTGTTACAGTTGTGGAAGGTTGTACACTTTGTTAGGGACTATCCTAAGAAGAAGAATAAACAGAACGGTAAGATAAGAGGTGAGACGAATGTATCTATAGGGTCTAGTGATGACTCTAATGAGGTTTATTGAGAATTAAACCTAATTACTACATGTGCATCTGCATATAATCCTTTTTGCATGTGTGTGATTGCTTAATTCTGTTGCATAGTTATATGTTGTATTGAAATATATTTGATATGTGCATTTGTATGAATTTGAGAGCAATTTGATTACTTTGTGTAACTGTTTGCATGCATAGTGGGTTGGGGTGCATCAGCAGTATGTGTGATGCGTGTCTATTGGTGATGTGGAGTATAGATAGCTAGGGATTTGTGGTATGTACATGGGATGTGGAGTGTGACATTTGGATCACGAGTGGAATGTGATTAAATGTTGGAATACTTTATTCGTGAAGACCCTGTACATGTGGAGTGTGAGATAGTCACTTCTGTTAGGTAGAGACCTATTATCCACTTAGGTTGGAGAAATGATGTGGTGATAGAGGATTATCTTGATACTTAAGATCCATTGTGAAACACCAGTTAGACATGAGTGTTAGTGATGAGTATAGTGAGCATCGTGGGCTATGCGAGGAGATATGAGTTCTCGAGATGTGGACAATACGGAATATGATATGATAAATGTGGTGAGATCTTTTTGTGGGGTTATTTATGCATTTGTTGCATGTACTTTGACCATTTCATTGATTAACTTAGTGTTAATATGTTATTCGGTGTGAATATTGATTACACCCAAAGAATAACACGGTAATTGTAGTATAATTTTGGGGTGTCGATTCCACAGGAAGATGGAAAAATACTTAATGGTTCAAAAAATTAGGGTTTTTCGTTAATCGTTTCAAAATGATTTGTTTTTTCGAAATAAAATTTAAATATTAATGGATCAAGTAATGAAATTAAAATCAATGTGTTAAAACAGTGAAACGTCGAAATTCCCTCAATTGGATCGGATCATTCTACGTCAATTATTTATTTTTCATAACTCAATTAGAGGCTTTCATCCCCAAGGAAGTCTTAAAAGCCGTACGGTAAGCCCAAAGTGTATCGTTTAGTCTTTAAGACCAATCATTACGATTAGAGTTCACAGTTTTCTCCAAAATTTGTTTAATTTCCCTATTAGCCCATTATACATGTCCACTAGTTTAGGGGTGATAAGCAATAGAAATTTTATGAATGACCCCGTACTTTTTCATGAATACGTCGAATGAACGGTTGCAAAAGTGTGTGCCTATATCACTAATAACAAAACGTGGTGTGCCAAATCGAGACAAAACATTTTCTTTCAGAATTTAACAACCATTTTGTTGTCATTAGCCCTATAAGCTGATGCTTCTACCCATTTAGAGTAATCAATTGCCACAATAACATACAAATAACCAAAAGAGGATGGAAAC